GATTATGTATCTATAGTTGACACATTATGTACCTGTAGTTGATAGTTTATGTACTTGTAGCTATCATATTATGTGTCAGCAATTATCAAGTCAGATTCTATATCTATAGTTGACACATTCTGTACCTATAGTTGATAGTTTCTGTACATGTAGCTATCATATTATGTATAAGCAATTATCAATTTATTTGTTTGCATGTACAAAAACTGTTAACTAAAGGTACATAATTTTTGTATCAATATTCACAATGCAATATGAACACTGGTCCATGGTATAACAATTGGCAATTCCTCCCTGAGGCTTCAACTAGGAAAGAAAAAGTGGCAAGGAAATATATGTGGCTAAGGAGAAGCCAAGTAAACTCTCCAAATGCTTGTGTACTTAAACTTGTTTTAATGGTCATGGAGTAGTAGGTGACTATAAATATCGTAACACGCACCTATTCCGTCCACAAATAGAATATCAATATTGTTTGTAATTCTATATATAATTGGGCTTCGCGACATGAAAACTAAACCAAACCAATTATATATACACAATATTTGACGTCTGACGTTAAGCGGATACACAAACGTGAATACATGATGCACTGTTAAGTGATGTCGGTCGAATGGTCGATTATGACAGGTTATATATATATGGTCCAATTTCAAATCATTTGGATATATATCTGCAAACCTACTTAATTTAAAACCACATATGCGTTTGATCGGGGGAAAAAAAGGCCACATATACGTGCAGTCCAATCTAATTTATCATGGGGCCAAGAAACAAAAAGAAAAAGAAATCAAGTGAATAAAGAAATTGTTGAGAGAATACCACTCATATGCATATAGAGACACACACGTACTGCTTATATATAGCAACAGATACACTAACCAAACTAGGAATATGCTATGTAGACGCTCAATAGTTATATTGAATTTTGATCAATTTAGAGTACTTAAATTGTTATCGAATAAAAATGTTTGAAAGTTTTTTATTATTATATTTATGAGAAAAAGTGAAAGTTCTTATATTAGTTCTTATATAGAAAAAGTTTGTTCAGAGTGAACAACTTTTGGGTTAGTATTGTGAAGTTCAAAAACATTTCTAAGTTATATTTACAATGATAGTTTTGAATTTAAAATAATAAGAGACAATTAAATGAGAACCCAAAATCAAAAGAAAAATTCATTTTAAAACACCAATTTGATAAATAAGAGAACCTTTTAAATTTAAATATCACGTACTTCATATAAGTATAATGTACAAGTTAATACATTTAACAATATTATTTAATGGCATTAATAACTTATTAGAAGGAAAAGAAAAATGATAAAATCAAAAGTAATTTCTAAGTGTACAAAAAAATAATCATAGTGTTCAACCAACTCAATAACCCTACATACATATTAATGACCTAGTACAAGCTAGAGTATATAAGAGTTCTTTAGAAGTTGTATTACACTATGAATTTAACTTGGTAAATAAAATGAGTCGAGTATAAACAATTATGATTCAGATATGTATGTTTGTGAGTTTAATTGGCAGCAAATCAATGGATAGTTTTCTATGGGTTGTCATTGTGCTGGATTAGAGGATTCAAATGGGTGGAACTGGAAAGCGACTCAACACAATACATGACAATTGAAAAGATTTTGAAGGGAGGAAACAAGAAGAATCCATATGTGCATATCCTTAGAGCTATATTTAACTTGGTGATTGAGGTGGGATTGGAGATGCACTATATATATCGTATACATCATGAAACAAACTTTTATATATATGGACTGGATAACAACACATCTGGATGATAGACAATTTGGATTGCAAGTATTTGACTCTGCCAAATAGGGTGCAATCAAATCTTGACACCCAATAGTTATGGAGATACATGATCACATTTTGTGTATCTTAACTTGATCGAAGTATTCCTACATATTAAAAAAAAAAAAATTGTTGAGTCTTTCCTTTGATACTTAACACATAAATTTTATGTCAATTAAACTTCACCAATAAGTACATTTTAGTATATCATTTATCATTGGCATGCCATTTTTATTTATTATTTATTTATTTTTAATCGAACCAACTCACATGCACTGCACCCTACCCCTTCATTATCCTCAATTCCTCACTAACATATATATACTCCGTATAATACTTACTATTCATGAAAAAAACTTTAAAAAAAAAAAAACAAGAAACAATGGGTTTTCGATTATTCGTGGAAGCTTAGGGAAGATTTTTTTTCTCCGACTTAGAATGAGAGATGGAGAGAGAGACAGAGAAGCGGGTAATGGAATGGATGAATGATGAAGGAAGACAAGACTTGGAAGAAGGAGAGCCATTTGAATATAATGAGGTGGTACAGATTTGCTAAGTTCTTAATGAATGGAAGTTGTTCGATCTGATATTCATCAATTCCAAGGAAATGTTGATGGTAGGGTTGAATTTATGTAACGTTAATTAGTTGTACAAAATACAAATGAAAGCTAAGGAAGGGGGAGTGAAAAAGCTAAGGAGAAGAATATAATCAATTGAATTGTATGATCCATGTTGTTTATGCATCTTGTTGAGCTACAGAATCAAAAAAAAAAAAAAAGAAAAAAAAAAAAAATCTTGGGTGTAATGGCGAGCTACGTGTTTTTCTCTCAATTCATAAATTCATCACTCTCGTTCAATCCTCATATGATGATGATTATTATTATTATTATGAGTTTCGCGTTCTTTATTGCTAACTAGTTGTACTATGATTCCAGGTGACATATAATGTGGCCTTGAATCTTAGCTAGCTTGTAGTATAAATATCTTCCCACACCTCACATTTCATGAATCACACTTACAACCTATCTAGCTAGCTTAGCCCGCAGCTACCACTACTATACCTTCATATCTTCATCCTCTTCTTTCTACTTCTTTAATTTGTTTATCTTCAAGTACAACACTGAGGAGAAGAAAAGCCATATATAATAAGTACAATACTCAACATATCCTTTTATCTTGCATGGTATATATTATTGTTCTTGGTTTTTACTCCTGTCTTTGATTTCTGCATTTGTTTCATTTCATCCATTTTTGCATCAATTTCTCTCACCTTAACATCTGATCTCAATGTTGAGTATAATATATGTATAAAAAATGAAATGTATAATATGTCAATTTAACCTTATAATTAAAATGAAACAGATTCATTATTACATGCATTCTCATCCCTGGCATTTCACATGTTATGCATCAATCAGTATAGCATATATTAACGTTCTTGATTTTTACTCTTGTTTTTACTTTCTGAAAGTTGCATTTGTTTCATTTCATCCATTTTGCGTCAATTTCTCTCATCTTAACATCTGATCTCACTGTTGAGTATAATATATGTATTAAAAAAAATGTATGTAACCTTATAATTAAAATGAAACAGATTCATTATTACATGCATTCTCATCCTTGGCTTTTCACATGTTATGCATCAATCATATATGCTCGGCAAAGTTTAATTAACATCCCAAAGTAGTAGTGGGCAGGAGATCCGGTTTTACATAAATGCCTCCACTCAACGTAAAGACAAGAAGTTTAAAACAATATTAAACATGATATAGCAACATGTAGTGAATGTACTAATGTACGATGCATGTCATCCACTTGTTAGTTGTCGGGTGTAGTTTGGTTAGTTCATATTGACGACTTGATAATATATATATGTAACTACCAACTTATATGGTAACTTAATAATCTTAAGATCTTCCTAAGTTTTGAGTCCTTTCCTAGTTTATTTAGAAATATATTATGGATACTAAGAACTTATTAGTTTGAACATTTCTATACAATTGTAACCAAACAGTCTGTATATTGATTACAAGTACAAGTAATATTACACATACTCTTAATTTTAATTTTATTCCATTTTTTACTATGAATTTAATTTTTACCATATTTTTTACTCTGCCTATGTCGCATGTAATATTACACATACTCTTAATTTTAATTTTATTCCATTTTTTTACTATAAATTTAATTTTTACCATATTTTTTACTCTATGCCTATGTCGCATGTTCATATTTATTTAGAAATAACTTCTATTACCAATTTTCTCTTATATTAATAAAATCATGATATAACCAATTACATTGTGCTTAGATGACAAGTCTGTGGTTCTCTTTGAGGGAAGGTCATAGTAATTCAAAAAAAAAAAATCACAATATATTCCCCATTTTCAATTCTTTTTCTTTTTTTTTTTTAGCTCAAAGGTATCCTCCAGCCGATCGTCAGAAGACTAATCCCCCGTCCCTACTAGTTACCGGTGGTCTTATATAACGGGGAGTAATATACGGAGTATCATTTTCCATAGAGTAAAGAACTGAAGCAAATACACCTTCTGACAAGAAGTCAAATCAGTTCCCCAGATTGGTGTTCATGCATGTTTTCATTGACTTGGAATTTTCAAGAAGCCTCATAAATTGTTTTTTTTTTTAAAAATTTTTTTATTTTAACCTGGATAAGATTACCGTACCCAGGAACGATTAAGACTAGCTGTTAATTAATAATTAGAAGCTAATTAATTGTCAAACATGACCTACACCTCACAAATAGCAAGCATGCATGCATGAACTTCATCAATATAATTCCAGTTAATATATTTCTGGGTTTTTTTTTTTTTTTTTTAAAAAAAGTCTTTGGAATGTTGTGATTAATTGCTGGATATTAATTGTTCAATGTTTTAGCTTTCAAGCATGGGAGACATCGGCAGGGCCGGATTTTAGGCTGTGCAAGCTGGGCTACCGCACAGGGCCCCCAATTTTAGAGGGGCCCCAAATTTTAGAGGTCCAATATTTAATTTTTACCTAACTAGTTTAGAAATAAAAATAAAAAGTTTTCAATTAAATCTAAAAAGGTTCTATGAAGAGATGGTAAGAATGTGTATTTAGTGTATTTTCACTTGGAGGTCAAAGGTTCCAAACTTGCATATATTGATTTTAAAAATTATTATTTTAGTAGGCCACATTTATTTATCAGAACAGGGCCACAAAAAGTTAAAATACGACCCTGGACATCGGAGAATCATCGGATCCACCATTCGAGGAGGCGTACAAGAAACTTTTTGACGAATTTAACCCGCAGAGATTAAGCGAAGGGGACGAGGTTTTGGTGGGGGATGAAATGGAGCTTCCATTGATTGATCTGGAAGAGCTGAGCCGAGGAGAAATGGCAAGAGAGGAGTGCAAGAAGAAGATCGCCAGAGCTTCTCAGGAGTGGGGTTTCTTCCAGGTCGTGAACCACGGAATTTCACGGGAGATATTGGAGACGATGAGGAAAGAAGAAGTGAAGCTGTTCAAGAGAACGTTCAAGGAGAAGGCTATGGCGGACAAGATGTTCAACTTCTCGGAGGGGAGTTACCGGTGGGGATCACCGTCTGCTTCGCGCCTGAGAGAGTTCTCTTGGTCGGAAGCTTTTCACGTCCAGCTCAGCGATATCTACGCCGACGGCGACTCACCGGCAGCTGCCTCAATGCCCAACCACCACCTCAGGTACGGTACTTCTTCTCCCCCTCCCCACCATGCATGCATGAAACTTTAATAATATTTTAAGTTTTTTTTTTTTTTTTTTTGAAAACATAATATTTTAATTTAAATTATATTATTAAGAACTTTATGTAATTATTATTATGGAATAATAAAGAAAAGAAAAAAGGGGAAAGTGAAATGGAAAGGCCGACACACACACCATCTCCAGGTATGGCGTGTGGTACGACCAAATTTGCCATATATAACTAAACATGGCTTTTAGATTGTGGACAAGTTTCAATCTGAATATACTAGAATGTTGCGTTGTTTTTTAGCCAGGAAAAAAATATCTTCCACAAACATATCCATCCACACATTTTTATGGTAAAAACATATCTCGTGACTGATATGATCCATCCATTTCGCTAGATTAACGATTGCGAGTTGTTAAAAATTAAAGAGAAATTTGTGAGATTATTTTAAAAAATTATATATATATATATATATATATATATATATATATATATATATATATATATATATATATATAAACTAAAAATTTAATTATTGATGAATCCTGATGAACGGTCTATATATATGTGTGTAGCATTTTTATATATATAAAAATTAATACAATTATTAAGTTGAGTTAGTTAAAAAAATTCATTACTGAACATGAAGTACGTTTTAAAAGAACAAAATTGTGATACTGATTTTTTTATTATTATTAAAGTCTCATTTAAATTTAATTACCTAAACTTTAAGGGTGGTCACACATGAATTATTCTTTGCTACCATAAAGACATAAAGTTGTATGCTTTTATTTGATTTGTTTTTCATATATGGCTTATGGACTATAGTTATTGCTGCTACTCCATGCAATAATTGAATAAATAGAGACTAATTTAGCCAGATAATTATTATTCCGATTCCAGCTCAATAATGCGACAGGTGGCGACATCTTTGTACGAGCTAGGGCAAAAGTTGGCTGCAATCTTGGCGGAGAAGGTGGGCCACAGCCCGACATACTTCCAAGAAACATGTTTGCTGACCCACTCTTACATTCGAATGAATCGTTATCCTCCACGCCCCAACACCTTTGGCTTTGGTTTGATGCCTCATACGGACAGCGACTTCCTCACCATTCTGCACCAGGATGACGTGGCTGGATTGCAGCTTGTCAAACATGGAAAATGGGTGTCCGTTAAACCCAACCCAGATGCACTTGTTATCAACATTGGTGATTTGTTTGAGGTAGTTACGATCTTCGTTATTTGTGTCATCACTTATAGCTTATTCGTACATGTTTTATATGTAACGTGTCATGACTAATTAAAGGGATTGCTGGTTGTTATGTGTGTGCAGGCGTGGAGTAATGGGATTTATAGGAGCGTTGAGCATCGAGTTGTTACTAATAGTACGAGGGAGAGATTCTCAACCGCTTTTTTCTTGTGTCCATCGTATGATACAGTGATTAGCTCTCCTTTTGAGCCTTGTTTATACAGGAGATTCACTTTTAGGGAGTTCAAGGAGCAGGTCGGAGAGGATGTAAAAAAAATTGGTCATAAAGTGGGCCTTTCTAGGTTTCTTGTACGTTGTGACTAATCATTCATAACTTACAATTTTGCCCATCTGTACTACTAGTTATTGATCCACTCAAATTAGCATGCATTTGTCAAAATAGGAATCAAATGACATTGATATTCAGTGTCAAAGACTTATAATCAAGTGACACTTACTATCAGCCAGTGACTAAAAATAAAATGTAAAGCTACATGGTATATGTAGCTAATATTCTGAGTTTGTAGTTTTGTACTAAACTATCTTACTTACATATGAGCAGGCCAGGTAGCATATGTATATGTTCGATTCTTCTATGTATGTGTACATCAGTTTCGTTGGTTTAGATTTACAGCATAGATCGACCAACATTCTTAATTAAGAGCAGTTTCATTATCTCCACCAAGCTTGGTGCCAATGGATAGTGTGAAATATATCAGTAAAATGGTTCCCATGCTTGACCTGTCAACAATTTCATAACTTAATTAATATATCTCTACTCTGCCAACTTTAATTTACCTCAAACAGATCATTGATACTCTTCACTTTTTCAGAATATTAAAGAGTCGCGTTTCGTTTTAATTAATTGTATATAATTATATTCTTTTTGTATGCACAATACTAATTAAGCACATTATTATATATTCTAGAAAATAAATATGGTGAAACTTACAAGGTGGCAAAGAAGAGAAGGATCCTTCTGGGATCAAGGGTCCAAGAAGAGGACGGAAGCCGCCGGAAACCAAACTTCTTGTCACCGATTCTTCTTTCAGTCGGGGAGGAACTGATAATGTCGCCGCCGGTAACGACGGTTATCTGATTATTAAAGGGTTGCAGAGCAGGGGAATCGGCGGCCAACCCCGCAGTCACTATCATCGGCTTTTCAGGAGTGCTAGCTCCGTGTGAAACAGCTGCAAATTTAATAAAAAATTCCAGACAGAATATACATTAAAAAAAAAAAATCAAACAATATTATCTTCATTACCTACTTCTCATGTATGGGTACCCCACGGCATATTATATAGTTAATTAGTATACATATATGACTACAATGCAGCAACCAACCATTAATGTGGTAATATGTATATTATATATACTTCTGCAGAGTCATCATTTTATTTTTGTGTTTATCAACTAACTAAAACCCACAAGTTATAAATAATTCAATATGTTTGAAACAGTTAATAAGCAATGTTGGATAAATCTAAAGATTATTACTTCTCGACCTTAGCTCAAGGAGTCAAGGTCTTGATTTAAGCTAGGCTTTCCTAAAGTCGTGAGTGGGCCTTCAGCCCGAGAAGAGATTGACGTGGGGTGCAAGGCACCTTTGATCATGATTAAGGAATTCAATATTTAATTTATACCTCAATCTACGCATAAAATCAACAAGTAGATTATATTGCTAATGTAATTTAGAACGAATTTGGTACAGTGTTATAATAGTGAGATATCATAAGTCATACACACAAAATATGTTTTTTTCTCATAATGAGTCTTGTAACACAAGTTATGAATAATTAAAGTAGATACAAAATCATTCATGGTAAAAGAAAAGAAAAAAGTTTAACCTCTTGGTGATGATGAAGATGCGATGATGGAATTCTCATTGGTTGCATTTTGATGATTGGTTTTCTTCACTGACCCTTTTCTTGCCTGACTCCTCTGCAACTTATATTAGTCAACCAAAAACATGAGTTTTGTACCATTTATAATTTGTTCTGATCACTTATAAGTAACGATTTGACAATAACACTATAACCAACCAAATGACATGGATATTGGATAAGTATAAATGTCACTGTCTAATTAGTAATTTCGAATGGAACTGTACACGTATAGGCTTATCGGATTTTATATATATCCTGTATTCATGAATCATGATCAAATACCATTTGATTAAAAATAATAATTAACACGTGTAAAATTGATCAAAAATTATAATTGATTAGTGTTACCATTATTATAATATCTATCATTTTGAGATTATGATATCATTAAAAGTATTATATGGTCTAACATTACAATATCAATATTGAGATTATGTAAGATGTTTTAGCTTTAAGTGGTTTGAATATATTAAAATATATAAATAGAATACAGCTAGAAACTATATATATATAGTCATAAGACCAACTTTCACCCAGAGTATATTTTCCGGTAGCAGTTTTTTTTTTTAAATCAAAGAATGAGGTGATAATATACATAGGGTTGATTTCTCAAGGGCAGTCAAATATGAAATATGGGGAGAGAGAACGACTTACAGTAATTCTTGAATTTGGTTGTTGTGTTAGGTGAGAAAAGCGTTCCATCTCCACAACAAAGCTATCAGATCGGTTGGTGTATTGCAATCCAGTTATTATATGATCAGAAACTCTGACTTTCTGGGCAGTTTTGCCTTCAAATTCTTCTGTGAATTCCCCATTTGAGCTTATTACAGTCTCAGACTCCATATTCTCCGGCCTGCAAATATATATATATATATATATATATATATATATATATATATATATATATATATATGACAGGTTATTAATTAAACTACACGACAAGTTTCAAACATGTGAAAACAAAAACTGTGCTTACGAGCTGAGGTTTGGAGGTCGTTAGTTTTTCAACTTCTTCTTTCTTCAATTCACCGCATGCAGATGAAGCTAAAGGAGTGAATGGGAGAAGGGGAGAAATATAAAAGATCAGAGGAGTTGTTTGGAGAGGGAGATGGCGGCTGGGTAGCAAATCAGGAAACCACACTTCAACACCTGATCCTTTTCATACCAAGACAAACACGGCCTTGTTGGTCAACTTCACCTTTTCACACGACGGGGGATAATAAACAATGAATATTTCAGCTGCAAGACTCCATCTTTTTTTCTTCAACCGCTACGTATGTTATTGGTTTGAAAATCAAACTTAGAAAAAGAAGAAGAATTGAGTGAGGGTGTGGAAATCTTATTATTATTGGAAGAGTGATTGAATTGGAGGTGTTTATATATGGCATGGGAACAATGACTAATGGGAAGTAGTTTTAGGTCCACTTGGACCAACCTTAGCACAACATCTTTTTTTAATTGGGTTCAATTTTATTCATGTAGAAGATGAAAAGGACTTGGATGTGCTTATCTTAATAAGGTTTTGAATCAAGAATTCAAGATGAATTTCTAAATTCTAACGGGTGAATGTGCATGCCAATGTGGGCTTCGAGTTGTGGTGGACCTTGGTCCTAAATGACGTATAAATTGTGTATTTTTAATATTAGAATAGTGAAAATTTAGAATATAAATTGTGTACATGACAATTGTAGAATGAAATTTGTGAATATAATACAAGGTCACCAAATCCTAATCTGTTAATATTGTGTGACTACAGTATTTGAAAAGAATTTATGATTTATGAATACAAAACAAGGTAATCAATTACATATATATTAACATTGTGTGTTCGTAGTATACAAATTGTAAATTTTTAAAAGGTCAATTGCGAACTATTGTGAACATTTAGTATGTAAATTGTAAATATTTGAAACTTAGTCCACCTTGCAAGATGGACCCCGTCTACATTATAATTTTCCGTGGGCTTCCCAACAAATGGTTTTCACATATGGTATAATGGGTGTTATGTTTATTAGTCTGGGCTTTATTATTGTCATGGGTTTCACATATGCCCATTATATATTTAAATTCTGCTATTCACTTGCCTTCTTTTACAGCATTTTCATGGATTCCTAACCTATGATCAATCCTAGGAAGCCAGGTTTGCTTTGCTAACATTTGTAATAATATACAGGATTCCGAACTTACTAAAAACTAAAAAAATGATTTAAGGATTAAGTGTACAATCATTTGGGACTATACATCCTCCACTTATCTTTAGGGCAGGAGCAGATGGCACAGATGTAGTAAGTTCTTGGAAGTTGATCCATGCCAAATTAAAAGATTATTACGGACAATCCCAACAAAATTGGTCTGACTGTTAACTTAGTAACTACATGATTTCTTATTAGTAATGGACAATTTAGGGTCATAAGCAGAGTTCACCCATGCAGACCTTCTGGTACAGGGTTTCCTCACTGGGATTAAAAAAAAAAAAAAAAAAAAAACAAGAATTTCAAATTAAATTAGTATTCTTTGGCAACACTTCAAGAATGTGTTTGATATATACATACATACATACATACCCAGTTCATCACCTCATAACGCAAGAACATAGTGACCTTTTTCTTATTCTTTTCTTTCTACATACAACCAAGCCATTCCGCCGGCATTACTTGCCACCTCCGCCACCTTAATTTTCCACTACAAATACAAACGCCGCGCCTACAGTGTCCTCAGCCGCAATCTTCCGTTGCACAACATATATATACTTCATTCCGACCCGAAAAAAATGAACTATTCCAGCGGCGGCCGCTTGCCGCTCCACCACCAAGACCCCTACTCCGGCGACGGCCCTCTGAAACGCCACCACAGCGCCCATTACTATGCGCACCGGGTGAAAGAGAGCCTAACCGCAAGGATCTCCAAGCTAATCTGTTCTCTCTTTTTAGGCCTTCTTGCTTTTCTGGGCATCATAGCTTTCATTTTATGGTTAAGTCTCCGCCCCCACAGGCCAAGAATCTACCTCGAAGATTTCTCCATTCCCGGCTTGGATAAAGAGAACGGGTTCGAGGACGCCGAGATTATCTTCAACGTTACCGCTAGAAACTCCAACCAAGGCATCGGGTTTAACTTCGATGCCATGCAGGTCACCGTGTTCTACGAAGACCAAAGCATAGGCGGCGCGTCGTTGTTAATCCCCTTCTACCAGTCCCCGAAAAACACCACCGTTCTCGCCGGCGTTCTAAGCGGCGCGACGCTGACGGTGACTAACCAACGGTGGCAGCAGTTTCAGGCCGACCGGTCTCGCGGACTAGTGCTTTTCCGGCTGCAACTAACGTCGACGATGAGATTCAAAGTGTCGTCGTGGCACAGCAAACATCATAGGATGCATGCTAATTGCCCGGTCGGTGTCGGAAAAGATGGCACCATCACGGCAGATTACAAAGGAAAGAGATGCCCGGTTTATTTTAGCTAACATTTAGGACCTATGAACTAATGTTTAAAATTAAATTTGCTTGTAACTAATTAACTATTTTTCCATCCCAAAAGTTCTAAATCAAAACAATAATAAATCTGTTGAGATAAACCAAACAAGAATCGAAAATAATGCCAGAAAGTAAAGATTTACATGAAGTTGTTTTTTAATTATCATCCTGCAGTACATATGAGATATACACAACAAAATCTCTTTTCTGAACTTTTTTGAGGTCTGATTCATAAAGAAACAGGATAAACTAACATGCATGCATGCTTTTGGCTTTAATCTTTAGACAAATCTTTAGAATACGGTTTTCTTCAAGACAGTGCCGTTCTGTCCTAAATCAGTTCCATTAACTGTCACATTGTATACATAAGCTTCATAATCCATCTTATGATGCTTTGTTTTCCACTTGAATATCCTATACTGAACCGTCGTCTCCAAGCCAATCTTGAAACTTACATTTCCACCTATAATCTGCTGCAAAAACTGCAGGTCAGCTAATTTCATTTCCACTGCCCTCGTAGTATCATTCTTGCACGGCTGATAGAAGCCCGGGGTGGAATTCTTTGCGACAACAATTCCATTGTGGTTCATAGTGAAGTAGATGTCGCTGTAGTATATGCTCATACCCTTGTTGGGATTCGAGATTTCGATGCCTAACCTGACAGAAGTAATGTTGTGATGATCTGTTGTAGAATTCTTGGTATCTGAAGGATGAACATGGAAAGCTGCGATGGTGAAAGTGGGAGAACTCGGGATTAGAGTACGCCATATGACTAGAGAGACCAGAGTTAACACTGTTGCAACTTGAAAGTACCACCAATAGATTTCAGATTTTTCTTTGTATTGTTTTCCAACTGCCATTTTTTGGTTTACAACTAACTTGTAGCTGCAGTTGGTATATATAAGGATGTTTCGAAAATATTGAGGTTTATGAACCAGGTAGCATGTTATGTTTGTTTAGAATTTTATATATAGACTGAAAACCGAAACTCTCTTACTTTTCTTATGAAGTAAGAAATATAGGTACGTGTTTCTTTAATTATTTTTCTTTTTTTTTTTTTTGTTTATTAACCGTCACTGACCTTTTCTGATCTGAGCTATCTTTTTGGGGTTTCTTTTTCATAATCTTTGTAAGGAATGTCTGAACTCTTAGGTGTAGATGGAAGCTTTTGAGTGCTTATTGACTGTAGTTGGCTTTATCTCTTTCAAACTACTTTTTCGTGGCCACTAAAAGATGAGAAATAAAGGCTGTTTTTGAAAATAGTATATTGGAGTGTTGGAAAGTTGAAAACCAGTTCTCATTCCATTCCTACCATCAATGTATCATTTTGACTCACATTTGCACTCCCTAGCTTCTAGTGAAAGTTGAATTCCCAACTCCAAGAGACTCTCACACTCTGGCCCGACAAAGCATTTAGGAGAATATAAATCACGGTGATTCAATGATTCAGCAGACAGGGTCAAATGTTCATGCGCACAAAAGATCTGCTCACTTGGGCATAATCCCCACACTGTCGTCGCCGAGGTTCGAACCTTGGTCTCTTCTCCCAAATACTCCATAAATTCTAGTGTCATTTATCTATTTATAACTTCTTGTTGCTAGTTACCATTGTCCTTTGACGGGTGGTCGGTTGATAACTAAGGAGTATGCCGCCACTTCGTCCAAGTCTCCAAGACACGGGTAGGAAGAACTTCCATGAAGTTCATGTTACACTGGCAAAAATGCACAATAAGTATGCACTTTACAGATTTGTCTAAAGAATAAAGCCCAGCCATTGCAGAGAGTTGTCCTGTTTCTTTAGGAATCAGACTTCAAACAAGATTCAGAAAAGAGATCTACTATGTTGCTTTAATTTAGAGTGCATATATTCTTTTTTTTTTTTTAAAGGTAAAGAGTGCATTCTAACTCTTCCAGTTTTCCATCTTTTAATGACAAAGTATTGCAAATGTAAGATCACAAAATTGAAGCAAAGAATAACTTGGCATGGTGTTTGCCTTTTTAGCTTACTGACAATTAGTAACTGCAGAGAATTTCGGTACCACAACGCTAACATGCAACATTTACTTTTGAAAATTTCAGGTGTAAAGCTGCATTATGCCCAGTTTCTTACATAAATAATCAGTGTTCTGACCTAATGGATCCCTACTTCAGGGACTGGCGATGGGTAGCAACTTGTCTTCGCCATTCACGAATAGGAACCTGCAATAACAATCCATAAACAACATTTACATTTACAAATTTGTATAAACATATTTTGAATTTTTTTAACCATACAAAGAATAACTGTTAAACCCAGTATGCCTATGACAGAATATGGGAACAGATTCCTTACAGCAGGGAAGCCGCCATAATCCCCTGGCTCATTTATATCCTTGGTGACACAACTATTAGCTGCTAGCCTGACCTGTAGCCCAATTCAATAATTACGTTGGTTATCTATCATGTATGGATAAACGGAATAAGAGTGCATTTATAAATTGCAAAGCATGCTGATAAAAAGTTTGAAAATAAACCATTCAAGAAAATGGAAATGCATAGGAATATTTATTCAACCACATATAGTAATTATTGAATGAAAATAATAATTCAAGTAACTACCTTTGAGGCAATGCATACATGATCACGAATTGCAACTCTTCCCCCCATAGTTACATAGTCACCTATGCTGAAAGAAGATTAAAAGCAAATTATGTTAACAGTTTTAAAATGTTGAAAAGCAATCAAGTTTTGTATAAGTTTGGGAGTGATTTAGATTCAGCAATGCCATTTTGCTTTCCTCTTTATATAAAGGCACAGAGAGAGTAAGCAGCAATTTACGTTACTGAGCCGGCAATTCCAACTTGTCCACAGAGCATGCAGTTCTTCCCAATAACTACATTGTGACCTATCTGCAAAGTTGAGTGAATATATTGGGATTCTCAAATTTGAAATACAAATACTGTTAGAAACTCTGAAGATAAAGGTGAGAATGTTAGATACCTGAACCAAGTTATCTATCTTTGAATGATCCCCAATTACAGTATCCCTCCAACTGGACCTCTCCAAAGGTTAAACGATCAAAATCAATGCTTAGAATGCAAAGTACACTTAATTCAATAGACATTCACAAAATGCTCACCTGCCTCTGTCAATGCATGTATTTGCCCCTATCTCCACATGGGCTCCTATTGTCACATTCAGATTCTGAAGATGGAATACAACAAGAATGTTAATGCCAAGATAACTGTTATAAATGTTACTCAATACGACATAGAAGTGATATTTAGAGAACAAAAGATATATCAGTAAATAATTAATATTTCACCAACTTGAGGCTTCTTCACCATTTTTCCTTGTTCGTCCACAAAAAACCCAAAACCTGTTAGGAAACAACCCATTTTAAAATTGGCAGAAAGCAGTAAGTTACATTCAAATCTAATCCATTAAAACTGACACTCAGCCTTACCATCTTGTCCAATGCAGACACCGCTGTGGAGAACACAAAAATCACCAATTGTGCAATTAGTGACTGCAACATTATACCTGAATTTGTCAAGAAAAGATTTCACAAGATGTGAATGATGAAGAATTAGAACTTAGGTAAAAGATTACATACAGCTCATATTTGCAGACTTTAATAACTTGGAAAGAGAATGTTAACATCCTCAAAATAGTGCAGGAACTATACCCTACTCTTGTTGATTGGCCTATTGTAACTGCAGGCCCAATGATGGATCCTGAACCAACATGAACATTTGCAGCTACAACAGATTCTGCATGTATTACTGCACCAATCTCTATGACTGCCGTTGGATCAATGCTAGACGACTTATGGAAAGTCCCACCTCCATTACCCCATTTTTGAAATTCTTCATGGTCAATCTCACTGCAATCTTTTAGTGTTGAATCTGAAGCAGATTCCATACACAAGTCACAACTAAATGGGACCAGAACATAGTCATACTGAACAGAAAGTAAATTTTACATAAACCAAACCATTAAGGTCCAATACAACAATTCCAGTTCAAATAACAAACTTCAAAGTTCAGTAAACAAGCAACTCTTCACTTGGGGAGTAACAATGCAGCTTGGATACATGAGGTAACCCAAATTGCCAACTATTGCAGACAATTATCCTCCGGTGAACATGTCCATACAACATAAGAATCTTTAAATATAACCTAATAAAGCCATAGAGGAAGAGGAGCCTTATATCGTCAAACAGGTTTGAACTTTGAACTAGGGTGTTCTAATGCAAGGATCAAATTAGAAAATTAAAGAAAAGAAAAAGGTTCATACTTTTGCATCAATAGATATTTCCCATTTCGCTGCTAGCCTAGGTCTGCAGAACCCCATTTGCTATTATGATAAGAGTTTCACGGCGACATTTCCTCGAACAACTGGAATAGCTAAAAAAACTCACCAATCTCAGAGGATGAATGCTTATAAACTGATTGGTTCTTCGAGAAGTGGGTGTGTGCCGAATTGATTAAACCGGATCTTGGAGGGAACAGTGGTTGGCGGTAACTCTTGCAACCGATGAGGGCAGAAATTGAGGAGAAAGAACGAAGAGCTGCTAATCTTGGAATCCGAGAAGCCATGAAATCAACTGTCAAATGATCAAACACAGTTCAAACTTCAAAGATTCGCTTCAGAGGTTTGAAGCTGCTCTGATTGTTCGTAGATCAATTAAATTGTTCTTTTGAAATGAGCGCGCAGTTTTTTCCCACCCTAATTACCGAATTCCGTTGCAAAATTTCCAAAACGAAATTCTATTTACCCCATCTATTTTGCTATTTGCATCACATATTTAAATAGCTGTAGTCAAAGATTAATATTTGTTATCCATTTTTTAACAATAAAAATATTTAAAAAAAAAAAAAAAAAAAAACAAATCTGTCGCCTTATCCGGAGGGAAGGCAAGGTGTATGTCAAGATAAGATGTATGTTTCAGCTGAGCAAAGTCTAAGTGGATATGGTCATATGATTGGGATATCAGAAGTTACTTGGTTTTTCCTTAGTCATAGTTAATTATGTCCAATAAAAGACTGAACCTCAATTAACACACGGATAACGTTAGAAAAACAAAGAGAAAGGGACAACAAAGACCTGATCCTAAAAGTAGCGAACAAATACTCGTTACAAAATAAATCAGCGAATAACAATATTTGTTGAGATTATTCTTTCGTGAACTAAACGGAAAAGAAGACTTATAGCTACTAAAAGACAATTTTGTCCACCCCCACATCGTTATACATGTCATAAAAAGTTATGTCAATTTCTTACTCTCTAAATGAGAAAGTGACACCAAATTACTCTCACATATGGGAGGTTGTGGGTCTGAACTTTAGTAGAGACGATATTGACTCTTATAACAGAGTCAGTAGTACTAAGGGCATCCTCAATAGGGGTTCTTTCCCTAATTTTGGAACAGTAAAATCTTCATGTTTAACTTTTTAACAAATGGAAAGTAAAAAAACACACCACATTTTTCTCCTGCAAAAAAAAAAAAAAAAATTGTCAGAATTTAAAAAAAAAAAAAGAAAAAAAGAAAAAAGAAGGGTGAGACGCGCAAGTGCGTCTCACCCTTCAGCCTGGCGGGCGCGTGTAAGGCGTTTCAGAGTGGCCGCCAGTTGAAATTATATGGTTTCAGAGTGGCTGCCAACCGCCAATTAAATATTTTTTTTTGTTATGATTTTTAAATATTAATAATATGATTTTTACATATGATTTTTGTAAATAATAATTATGATTTTATTTGCTATAAATAACACATCTTTTATAATTTTTAACACTTTTTATTTGCAATTTTTACGTATGCTAATTTACATATTATTTTTACGTATCATTTATGTTTATTTCTAAAATTATAAATGAAATAAATAAATAATTAAAATATGGAGATAAAATGGTGGGTCCACAAAAAGTTGTGAACAAACTTAAAATTAATGGGAAGAAGAGATTTTTTGATTGAGTGAAATAGTGGATGATGAGGTGGATGTTGGGGCTCACAAAAATTAGGGGTAAAATTCTCAACTATTGAGGATGCCCTAATAAAAAATAAATAATGTAAATTATTATCGAAATGTGAACTGATAATATATATGACCAATTAACTTACCTAATAACTCCAACAGTGTCAAAGACCTTGTGGTTGAGCGGATGAGAGGTTTTAGGTTCAAATTTTAGTATGAAGTTTTGACTTTTTGTATTTCAGTAGGTTGAAAACATATACTATTATGTAATAAAGTTAAAAGCAACTCATAAATAAATAAAATAACTCCAAGGGCTAAAAACTACTCTTCTTTAACAACCGGTTACCCCTTTTTTTTTTTTTTTTTTTTTTTTTTAATGTAACAACCGGTTACCCCACTCCCCAACTTTTTCCAATTTCCATCATATTCCGCTACTCTTTAGTCAATAATAAAATAGGAAATTTCTTCTTAAAAAAAAAAAAAAAAAAAAAAAAAAAAAAAAAAACAGGAAAATTCAAAGAAAAGTAAACATAAAGAAAATCATAACAGTAAGAACATGGTTGTTTCTTGAGGATTCTTGTGGTCTACGTTGACCTGGAATGGGCAGATTCAATTCATTATACAGTCTTCAACCTCCATTTGTCCTGCATTTAACTACCATCAGTACGTTTACATTAAAGTTCTGATCTTGGAATAATCCGTTTGGGAGATCACAGAAACTGCGAAACATGAATTGGAATATACTTCACTACCTGTCGATTTTGTACTTCGCCCTCCCAGATTCTGAGTATGTAGATTTTCCTTACAGGCTCTGTGATGTACCCGGCAGCTTTCCAGAAAACACCCGCCTCCACTCCAACATCGATACTTCATTTCTCGCGTTATCCTCAAATGCTTCATACCATAACTTCTACAATACTTCAATTGGAAACGGTTCTGATACCGTTTATAGTATGTCTCTCTGCTACACCTATACTACACCGGAAAGTTGTAAGCTTTGCATAGAAAGTGCGGCAAAAGATGTCCAAGGAGACGATTGTTCTTACAAGAAGGAAGCAATTGTTTGGGAGGAAGATTGCCAGTTGCGATATTCGACACAGATGTTCTTGGGCAGCTTGAATTCTTCTGGGAATTTCGCTTTGAACAACAAACAGAACAACTCTAATCCGGAGCTGTTCAGGTCCACTGTGAATCAGACTTTGAATAATCTCACCAAGATGGCAGCTTTCAACCGCTCAACTATGTCTGCAACTGGCACGGCACCGTTTGTGGGTGGGGATACCATATATGCTCTTGTTCAGTGCACCCTGGATTTATCTCACCATGATTGCCAGAAATGCCTGGAGATAGCCACAGCAGAAATCTTGGAAAGTTTTTACTTTTCTCGAGGGGCTCGGCTTCTTAGTCGTAGCTGCTACTTGCGGTATGAGCTCTATGCGTTTTATAATGGTGACAAAGAAGGAACAAGTCGCAACGAAATGGTTTATGATGGTGAAACACTAGGAACAAACCACAACTCAAGTAAGTAGTTTTGCTCATAAATTGTTAAACTTTACACTGTTCTTCATGGAGTAAGAACTAATTATGCTCTTAATTTTGTTGCATTAGAATCAGGATTAAGTAAAAAGTGGACAATTACAGTGGTTGTAGCTGCTGTGACACTTCTTATAGCAGCAATGGGGTTCACTGCCTATTATCTTTCTCATTGTAAGTGATCAAAAAAGACTACTTTTGATCTATCCATATATATTCTCTGTTTGTATTTTAGGTTAACATGTAGTCTGATTTCACTTTTTAGGCTATAGAAGAGGGAATTCTAAAACAGAGTTAGTTCAGAGGAGTTACCCTGATGATGAGATGAGTCTGCTGAAGCAAAAATTCCCAGGAATAAACAATCAAGAACTTCCACATATTGACATTAGAACAATAATAGAAGCCACAGACAATTTCTCTGACCTTAATAAGCTTGGGGAAGGTGGATTTGGCCCGGTTTATAAGGTGGTATTTCTAATCATCAGGTCCATATATAATACACCCAACTCATATATATTTCCAAGCTTATGTATCCATAATTGTATATGCAGGGAAAACTTCCAGATGGAAAGGAAATAGCAGTTAAAAGGCTTTTAACTAGTTCTGAACAGGGTTCAGAAGAGTTTATAAATGAAGTTGAGCTGATCTTAAAGCTTCAGCACAAAAATTTAGTTACCCTCTTGGGTTTTTGCATTTATGAGGATGAAAGGCTGCTAATGTATGAATACATGCCCAATGGTAGCTTAGATGTATTTTTCTCAGGTTTGTGCTCTCCTCCTTATGTTTTCTCAGGTTTATGTGAATGGTAAACTTAAGGTTCTTGGCCTTTCTTCTTGTCTGTGCATTACACCAGATGAAAGTAAACTTGCACAGCTCAATTGGAGCCAACGTCTGAGCATTATCAATGGCATTGCGCGGGGAATGCTGTACCTTCATGTGGATTCGAGGCTTAGAATCATCCACAGGGATTTGAAACTCAGCAATGTGTTACTAGATGCAGATATGACTCCAAAAATTTCAGACTTTGGGATGGCGAGGATCTTCGCAGGAAATGATGGCCGAACTAACACTTCTGTGATTGTTGGAACGTTGTAATACCCTTTTCTCCTTTGTAGTACCAACTTTACTAGTCATGTCTCAATTTTCAATCTCATTTTTTTTTTTACTCTTTGTGCCCCAGTGGGTACATGGCTCCAGAGTTTGCCATGGAAGGCCTGTATTCCATAAAATCTGACATCTTTAGCTTTGGAGTCGTGTTGATTGAGATCATTACTGCGAAAAAGAATTCCGCTTTCCATCTCACCAGAACTGCTCCAAGTCTAATAGCACATGTAAGTCTGTGGCTCTGATACTAAATTGAAGGATGTGTTTCGTCTTAGCCAATGCCTTCTTGCAAAGATATTACACGATTAGCTGATAAAGCGATATACGTATTGCAGGCATGGAATATGTGGAATGAAGGTAGAGGCCTGGAGCTGGTGGATCCATTGCTGGAAGGTTCATTGTGTGGTGATGAATTCCTGAGGTGTCTGCAAATTGGACTGTTATGTGTTCAAGAAGATCCACATGACAGGCCTAACATGGCATCTGTAGTTTTTATGCTGAGAGGTGAATCTCATGCTCTTTCCCACCCTAAAAGACCAGCTTTCTGTGTTGGGAGATTCACAGATCACTATGAAAGTCTTTTCACTGATGTATCTGTAAATGGTCTCACTGTTTCAGCAGTATTACCCAGATAGTAAAATCACAGCTAAAAATCTTTTAACTACACTGATCTACTTGTGTAAATCTCTGACTAGCTTCAATGAAGATGATCTGTGTAGCCTTTTCCATGTGAAATGTGTAGATTCTTGGAAGATGGGTAGTTGGTGTCTGAAGATGAATTTTGGCCTTTTTGTTATTGTAGGTTTCTTGAAATTCTTTTCTTTGGTAATCTGCTTTGATCCGTACAAATTAAGCGTGGTGCTTTTGTGGTCCTGTTTGGCAACCATAATACTTTGACTCATCCTCTGTTTAACACAACTTGCCAGGATTTAATAACGATAGCCAATATGTGAGTGGAGCAAACAATAACACATTTTGTAATTAAATATTCATGTCTAATATATAATAAATTGAAAATAATGACATTTTTAGTCTTTCAATGACTAATTGTATGTACGCTTGGTAAATCTTACTCCTTTCATTGTAACAATTTTGTGCAACAAAACTGTCTGCAAGTCATGTTCCATTAACTTAATTATTCATTTTCTCTTTATGGTATAGTATATGCATATAATGAATTATGGCAGCAGCGGTTCTCTATTATATATGGCGGGCAAGAAACCAAGCGGTATGGGAGCATGCTCTACCGACGCCCAAACGAGTGGTGAATGCGGCGACATCTGCGTGGCAAGCGTGAAGCATGGTGCATGGAGGACCAGCTGCGGTGCCACAAACCGTACCCACTGCCACGGCTGGAGGCGGGCTGCCGAGAGTGTACGTCGATGCTGGCTTCCACGCGTCGGACGGAATGGCGACGGCAGGCGCGGTTGTAATCTCAAGCGAAGGGGAGTTTATGTCATGCTTCAATATGCGGTTACCTCATTGCCTGTCCCTATTAATGACAGAAGCGTTGGCATGTAAGGAAGCATTATTATGGTTGAAGGATAAGGGATTGCTCGCGGTACAGTTACATACGGATTGTCGTAATCTACAACACCACTTGACATCACAAGCCACACGGATGCGAACATATATTGGCTATATCATTGATGGATGCAGGACTATTTTGTCATCCCCTGTTATTTACATTCCTAGATTAGAAAATCTTATGGCGCACTCATTAGCGTCGCATGCTTTTACGCAGACTCATACGATGTACTGGGATACTATCCCACTAGATTTTAGTGCAGCCTATCTCTAATATAATCACCTTCATTGGTGGCTTTCAAAAAAAAATATGCATATAATGAGTCCGGATGTAAATAAATAAATGACAAAAGTAAAAGCCCAGTTGTGGCTACTTGTGAAAGAGTAGTCATTTTCTAAACGCTTTTGTATGTATTGGGCAAGATGTTTAATTAGAAATATCAAATATGGAAGTCATAAGCGGAGAATAAGCAGTTTTGTCAGAACTTAGATTCATTGACCATGAAATGGTCCTACATATTTTATATTTTCCGTGTAAATGCAGTCTAATATTCCATTTGTGGGTGGTATGCTTTCAAAATAATAATAATAATTATTATTATAGACCATGGTTAATGGTAAAGTGTTTTGGAATTTTTTGTGTGAACTCCAATATAATATCAAAGAAATATATATATATATATATAGAGAGAGAGTAAAGTGGACCTTGGTCCATCCCACCAACTTATAGAATTATATTATACCAATTAGGACATGCCATGTGAATAAAGAATCAACAATCAATAAAAAAGGAAATATAAATATTAGTCAAATTAAAATTTTTATATAAAAGGGGATCGTATCATACTCGGACTAATCTCCGTTCCCACAGAACCAGCTCAATTAATGGGTAATACGAGAGAGTGTTCAAACTCTCAACCTTTCTATAGAAACAAGAGTGCGGGGCCACTCACATCAACCAAGCTCGTTACTACTCTTTGTTAACTAATAGTGCAATGAGGAATGCAAGTTGACTCCAACCTTAGTTCTGGTCCAGCCGTTCAGGTTAACCAACATGAGCGCAAATGGTCATATTCACTCTCTTCAATTTCATGGACCCTATAGCTACGATTCCGAATATTGAATCTATCCTGCTGAAAATTCCAAGAACTTCTCGGCATTCGATCTTTTCCAAATGCCCGAGGAAGATTCACTCCTCTATTTGCCTTCTTCTTGATGGTTACATTCCTACACGTAGCTTCATTTTCAGATCGAAGTTTCAAAACGATGAATCAAACAGCTATTACTGCCGTTTTCCTGTTTCTGCTACTTCATGTTTGTGCAGCAGATCCGCTGGATACTCCCTGTTCGTATAACAGAGGCAATTACACAACCAACACCCCCTTCGACAACAACCTCAAAACCCTCCTTGCCTCTCTGCCCGACAGCGCCGCTCAAAACCAAGGCTTTAACTACACTTCACTTGGGGACGGAGATGACAGAGTGTTTGGTCGAGCGCTTTGCAGAGGAGACATCAACTCCACGGACTGCGAAACCTGTCTGGGAAAAGCAAGTGAAGAGATTAAACGCCAGTGCCAAACCAGGGAGGCTCTGATGAGATATGATCAGCGTTGTCAACTCGAGTACGGCTCTACACTCTTGAAGCGTTACAATGGGAAGTACCCAGACTCAAATGGCCTGAAGAAAACCGCGTCTGATCCCCTTCGTTTTTCGCGAGTTTTGAAGGAGTTGATGGGTGACCTTTCTGACGAGGCTGCTTTCCATTCCGGGCTCATGTTTGCAGCTCAAAGTAGAAATTTCTCAGAACAGATTTCTATTTACGGGCTTGTGCAGTGTACAAGAGACTTGTCTAATGCACAGTGCGGTGAATGTTTGAATAGCGCCTCGGGAGATCTTGAAGGATGTTGTGGCTCCCGTGAAGGAGGAACGGTTTATGGTGGGGCTTGTTCTGTGCGTTTTGAGATATACCAATTTTATTATACTGCCATAGATACCCGTGGTAAGAAATTTAATTTCATCATTTTAGTCCTATCATCCTCTACTACATACACAAATTACAATCTTTTCAACTTGATTTCATCAGGGCATAAGACAAAAATCTGGGTTCCTGTCACAATTGTATCTGTTTTAGTATTTCTGATAGGAGTTCTGGTTGGGTTCTTTGCGTGGTATCGTCAAAAGAGGAAGCACGCAGGAATAGGTAAACGCGTTTATAGTTTCTGAAATAATGAAAGATGAATATAGTTTTACCTAGTTTTTGCTTTGATTGAAGATAAAGAGGAAAGAAGCCATAGAGGAATGCTAGGTGACATTGAGGCCAGACCTGCAATTAATTCTTTGACTATAGTGGGAAAGTATGTGTTAAGTTCCCAGGAAATGCCAGCCGTGGAGCTGCCCGTCTTTGATGCAGCCCCGGAAATTTTTTCGCAGTCTAATAAGCTTGGACAAGGCGGATTTGGCACTGTTTACAAGGTACGCTAGCTCCTCCTTAGGATCCTGTCTTCAATTTCTGGTTCTGCTTTCGTGTTTCGATAACGTTAGAAAACTGGAGCCTTAATTTACAGAGTGTTCTGCCCAGTGGGGAGGAAGTAGCAGTGAAAAGGTTGTCCAGAAAATCATGGCAAGGGGTGGAGGAACTGAAGAATGAGGTGATGCTGATAGCAAAACTTCAGCACAGAAACTTGGTCAGGCTTCTTGGGTGTGCCCTGGAAGGGAATGAAAAGCTGTTGATATATGAGTTCATGCCCAACAAAAGCCTTGATTTTTTCCTATTTGGTTTGTTCTTCACTGGCATAGTTAACTTTTCTACTATCAAGAGTGCAGTTAGACTCACTGAAAAATTGATTTCTGCAGACAGGGAAAAAAGGTTGCTGCTTGATTGGAAAACACGGTTTAACATCATTGATGGAATAGCTCGGGCACTTGTTTATCTTCACGAGGATTCCCGGCTGAAAGTGATACACCGGGATCTTAAACCTAGTAACATTCTGCTCGACAATGACATGGTTGCCAAGATATCTGATTTTGGAATCGCTAGGATCTTTAGTGAGAAACACAACCCTGCCAACACCAGAAGAATCGTGGGAACATAGTGAGCTACTTTGCTACTTTGTTGAGTCAATCATAATCTAACATCTTATATGAAATTTTAAGGTAAATTAGTGTACTTTTCTTTGTACAGCGGATACATGGCACCTGAGTATGCAATGGGGGGACTATTTTCAATTAAATCTGACGTGTTTAGCTTCGGGGTGATAATGCTGGAGATCATCAGTGGACAAAGAAATAGCAGCTTTTACATCAGCGGAAGCCCTCAGACACTACTCTCCTATGTATGCCTTTGCATGAATCAATTTGGTTGTAATTAACACACACACACACACAGACAACTTGAACTGACTATAAAAAAATGCACAATATTGTCAGGCATGGAAGCTTCTGAATGAAGAAATGGAATTGGAAGCTGTAGATCCTGTGCTGATAGAATCATCTTCTCCAATGGAAGAAATAGCAAGGTGCATCCATATTGGGCTTTTGTGTGTTCAAGAAGATCCAGCAGAGCGGCCAAGAATGTCAGAAGTTGTTCATCTTTTGAAAGGAGGACAAATGTCAATGTCTAAACCAAGCCGGCCACCAGTTTCTTTGGGAAGAAGATCTAACCATGCCATTCATCTCAACCCTTCATCTCTCACAGGATCATGTGCCACCACATTGATTACTGGTAGCTACTATAGGCCTTCAGATCATGGCTGCATGCATGATATTAGACATACAAAATAGTGAACTATATATATAGTACGTGAAGTTATAGCCATTCAATTAAATATTTGATATATACATGTAAGAGCATCTACATCAAAGGAGAAATAGGGGAGAGTTCACTACATTTGAGGCCAAAATGCCATGGTGGCAGAGAGAGAATCAAGAGAGAGAAGGGGTGGGGAGCATCTGCAAATGTTGGGATATTACTCTGCCCAAGAAAAATAATTAATGATGAAAGATAAAGAACCAATAGAGAAATGACATGCTTATTTTTTATATATATTTTTTTATAAAATCAGTTTTGATTTTTTTTCCCTCCCCTCCCACATTATTCTCTTTCCTACTCACTCTTACATTCTCCCCCTAATAACCCCAACTGATAAGGATGCTCTAATATACTTATATAAGAGGTTTTAATTTGGTTCAATCTCTTTCTATAGTCAAATATATCAAATCAAATTAAAGTTAACAATATCAATATAAATATTTTTCTATGTGAGGAGAGAACTTGACAATTATTAATTGGCTGAGTAAATTGTGTTTCTGCATAATAATTGATAAATTAGTGAGATAATTAAGGATAAATCTCATAAATTAATTGTTACAAATCCCATAAAATTAGAAGTAAATTACCAAAATTAATTTCTACAATTAATTGAGGTTTGATAAAGGGCGAAGACTAAAAGGAGTAAAGGTCAAGGAGAACGGCAATTATTATTATCTATTCTAATAATTTAATTTAGGGAATAATTTATGTAATATAAATAGTAAAAAAATAAAATCAGTGGGAGCAGTGTCCCAGCCCCCACTTTGAATCCGCATGCGGATATACGCCATTTTCGTCATCTTCCGCTAGTCTTCAGTCAATCATCAACTTGGAAATTAAAAAATAAAATAAATAAATCAATAAATATAAAGAAGATCATAACAGTAGAACATACTTAGTTGTTTCTTGGGTCAATATAATTGATAAGGATTGTTGTGGTCTGCATGATATGAGATGGCCAGATTGATTATTCTTTGGTCTTCAACCTTCATTTGGATGTGTATTTAACTAATTCAATTCAATCTTCTACATAAAATTAAATTTTCTTGGAATAATTCATCAGTTTGGGAGAAACATGACGATGATGAATTGGAAGATGCTTCATTACCTGTCGTTTTTGTACTTTGCCCTGCCGGATTCTTTATATCCACAGCTTCCTTACAGGCTCTGTGATGTTCCCGGCAACTTTGCAGAAAACAGCACCCTCCAGTTCAACATCAATACTTCATTTCTTGCGTTATCCTCAAATGCTTCAAATCATAACTTCTTCAATACTTCAATCGGAAATGGTTCTGATACCGTTTATAGTATGTTTCTCTGCTACAGCTATACCACACCGGAAACTTGTAATCAGTGCATAGAAAGTGCGAAAAGCGATGTCCAAGGAGACGATTGTTCTTACAAGAAGGAAGCAATTGTTTGGGAGGAAGATTGCCAGTTGCGGTATTCGACGCAGATGTTCTTGGGCAGCTTGAATTCTTCTGGGAATTTCGCTTTGAACAACAAGAAGAACAACTCTAATCCGGAGCTGTTCAGGTCCACTGTGAATCAGACTTTGAATAATCTCACCAACTTGGCAGCTTTCAACCGCTCAACTATGTATGCAACTGGCACGGCACCGTTTGTGGGTGGGGATACCATATATGCTCTTGTTCAGTGCACCCTGGATTTATCTCACCACGATTGCCAGAAATGCCTGGAGATAGCCACGGCAGAAATCTTGGAAAGTTTTTACTTTTCTCGAGGGGCTCGGCTTCTTAGTCGTAGCTGCTACTTGCGGTATGAGCTCTATGCGTTTTATAATGGTGACAAAGAAGGAACAAGTCGCAACCAAACGGTTTATGATGGTGAAACACTAGGAACAAACCACAACTCAAGTAAGTAGTTTTGCTCATAAATTGTTAAACTTTACACTGTTCTGCATGGAGTAAGAACTAATTATGCTCTTAATTTTGTTGCATTAGAATCAGGATTAAGTAAAAAGTGGACAATTACAGTGGTTGCAGCTGCTGTGACACTTGTGTTAGCAGCACTGGGTTTCACTGCCTATTATCTTGCTCATTGTAAGTGAACAAATTAAAGAAGACTACTTTTGATCTCTCCTTTTTTACTGTTCCAATTTTAGGTTAACTAACATACAGTCTCTGTTTTCACTTTTTAGGCTATAGAAGAGGGAATTCTAACACAGAGTTAGCTCAGGGGAGTTACCCTGATGATGATATGAGTCTGCTGGAGCGAAAATTCCCAGGAATAAACAATCAACAACTTCCACATATAGACATTAAAACAATAATAGAAGCCACAGACAACTTCTCTGACCTGAATAAGCTTGGAGAAGGTGGATTTGGCCCGGTTTTTAAGGTAGTGTTTCTAATCAGATCAGCTCCATATATATATATTATATATAATACACTCAACTCATATTTATATGTATCCAAAATTATATATATATGCAGGGAAAACTTCCAGATGGAAAAGAAGTTGCAGTTAAAAGGCTCTTGACTAGTTCTGAACAGGGTTCAGAAGAGTTTATAAATGAAGTGGAGCTAATCTTAAAGCTTCAGCACAAAAATTTAGTTACCCTCTTGGGTTTTTGCATATATGAGGATGAAAGGCTGCTAATGTATGAATACATGCCCAATGGTAGCTTAGATGCATTTTTCTCAGGTTTGTGCTCTCCTCATGTTTTCTCAGGTTTATGTGAATGGTAAACTTATTGGCCTTTCTTCTTGTGTGTGCATTACAACAGATGAAAGTAAACTTGCACAGCTCGATTGGAGCCAACGTCTGAACATTATCAACGGCATTGCGCGGGGAATGCTGTACCTTCATGTGGATTCGAGGCTTAGAATCATCCACAGGGATTTGAAACTCAGCAATGTGTTACTGGATGCAGACATGACTCCGAAAATCTCAGACTTTGGGATGGCGAGGATCTTTGCAGGGAATGATGGCCGATCTAACACTTCCATGATTGTTGGAACATTGTAATTCATACCCTTTCTGGTTTAATTTGTAGTACCAAATTTACTAGCCATCTATCAATTCAAAATTTATTTACTCTTTCTGCAGTGGGTACATGGCTCCCGAGTTTGCCATGGAAGGTCTGTATTCCATAAAGTCTGACGTTTTTAGCTTTGGAGTTGTCTTGCTCGAGATCATTACTGCAGAAAAGAATTCCGCTTTCCATCTCACCCAAACTGCCCCGAGTCTAGTAGTATATGTAAGTCGGTCCATGTATATGCCTTGTACTGTATTACTTTCGTCACATGTCTTGATATGACACATGTAACGTGTTGCAGGCTTGGAATATGTGGAATGAAGGTAGAGGCCTGGAGCTGATGGATCCATTGCTGAAGAATTGTTGCTGTGGTGATGAATTCCTGAGGTTTATGCAAATTGGACTGTTATGTGTTCAAGAAGATCCATTTGATAGGCCTAATATGGCATCTGTGGGTTTTATGCTGGAAGGTGAATCTTATGCCCTTTCCCAGCCTAAAAGACCAGCTTTCTGTGTTGGGAGATTCACAGATCACTATGAAAGTTTTTACACTGATAGAACTGAAAATGGTCTCACTGTTTCAGCAGTAATACCCAGATAGGAAACCAATTCTCTTTGTTTAAATCACAGCTAAAAATCTTGTATGTATAAGGTTCTATATTTGTAAGTCAGCAAAAGTTTGTTTTAAAGATGCACAAATCAATAATATTGTGTTTATGTTAGGAACTCTAAGTCAAAGAATTTAACTAGTTGTGTTTATCTCCTAACTCCTAACGCGCCTCGTGTCATCGATTAAATCCAATTGCAATAACTCAACATTTAATTATTATTATTTTTTTTTTAAAAAAAAAATCAAACTTTAAAAATTTGATTTCTAATTTAGCTTTAGAAAAATGGTCAAATAAACCAATGAACTTTGAAAATTTTTACAAATGTTTAATTTTTTAAAAAAGTTGCTATTAATTCATCAAATTTTAAATGTTTTAATATAGTTTATATGATAATTGGGTATAATTATTTAAAATATAAATATTTATTTTTTTTTTAAATCAAACTTTAAAATTTTAAATATAATTGTTGTAATACATAAAGTTTGATATCCCTCAATAAACCCTTTGAAACCCACTTGTCCCGTCATACCGAACGAGTCTTTGAGAAATTCTTTTTCAAATTTTTTTTTTTTTGAAATTTTATATCTGTTACAAGAATTTTGACACATAAATCAGAATCAAGCAAGTTGTTAAGTGGATGAATATTTTTGTCACAGTCATGAGCCATGGAGCATGACCGCCATTGAAACAGTCCTACATATGTAACGTGTAAATAGGGTTGAATATTATAATTTTTACACAATTAATTCATTATAGTAATATTAAAATATAATTTTAATTATAATACATGTTTATTTGACAATATTTATATTTGTGACATATCACTATAGTCCACCATATAACGATGGGTTATAACGACTCATGAGTTGTTTAGATATATGTAAATAAATAATTCACAGAATTATAAGCCCACTTGTCCAGTTGCATCCAAAGAGCCTTTGACAAGTCTTTTCCAATGTATATTATTCCTATTATTTTGATATTTATTGCAAGAACTTTGACATAGAAATCAGAATGAAGTTGTTAAAGTGGATAAGCATTCTTGTCACAGCTTCAATTCATGGAGCTAGCATGACCGCTATCAAAACAGTTCACATATTTAACGTGTAAATAACGTCTAATATTAATCTCAATATTTTATGGACTTTACCATTGATTCCTGGGCAACCCGCATGAGTGCAAATGGTCATATTCACACTGTTCAATTTCAAGGACCCCATAGCTACGATTGGAGATGAATGTATCCAACACTCTGAGCCATCAGCAGAAAATTCAATTCCAAGAAGATGTCCATACACATTGCTTTCATCTTGCCATGTTTTTCCAAATTCCTGTGGAAGATTCATACTATTTCAATTCCTTCGATCAAGTCCCCAGATCGGATAAAGCTGAAAAGTTGCCATCTTTAGAACTTCCGACCAATT